TTGCCGCTCTCCGTGTCTCGTGGGTGCCGCTCGGGGCCGGGATTTAAGCGCGTCCCGGGGGTGTCTCCGCGGGGCCCTGCCGCAGCGCCGAGCCAGCTCCGCGGCCGCGGAGGAGCGTTCGTCACTTGTTAAAACCGGGGCTCTGCTTCTGTGGTAGCTTCTCACAGCCGAGCCGGGGAGAAGGAGGCGCCGAGGGAGAAGGAGGAAGTTTCGGTGTGGCCGGGAGAGCTGAGTTTGGCTTGTTTTGCTTTGTGGAGGGGCAGTTTTGGGGTTTGCGAAGCTTGTTTTGCTTTCTGGAGGGCGGTTTGGGGAAGCACGAAAAAACTTCATGGATGGTCCTTAGTGCATTGAGCCTTGCAGAAATAATGGCATAACTGAGGGAAACGGTGAAAGCAGGAGGGTCTTGTGAGATGAAAGTAAAGCTGAGAGCAAAAATAACCGAGATGTGGCCTGAAAACCAGGTGAATACTCTGTATGTGCTCCCCAAAGAGCTGGATGTTGCGCAAGGTGAGAGGGAAGTACCGGAGAGGAGCCCAAGGTGCTCAAGGCAGACGTAAAATTCCAGCCCATTCCGGGTGGGAATCCGGATCATCCGCACCCGAGAGGACGGGTAGGACCTTCTGCAGGTGCCCCAAGAGGAGCTGCACACTGTGCCAGGAGGCCGGTTTTAGTGGGAAGTTTCTAATACTTCTGCAAATGAGCTTTACCCGATTGATTTCACAGTTGTTTTACTGGCTTTGTGAGACAATTTAAGTAAAATTTCGTGTGTGTGAGGGAAGCTTCTCAACGCTGCAGAAATCCAGTGTACTGTTGCATTTACTAGCGTTTTGAGTAGTTGTTGATTACCCAAAATATCTGCCTTTTTCCTGTGTGATACAGGAGCTGGATGCTGTTTTGCTCTTGTGGTAGCCCCCACTGGTACTAGGGTGCTGCAGAAGGACGAGGGGCTCCGGCTGCTCCAAATCCCCATTGGCTGTTCCCAAAATGGGGGATAGTTTTTTTGGGAAATGCTTCACAAGATATAGGATATCGACTGTGTTTTGCAGGGCACATCTAACCTCAGGAGCAGGCAGGTGGGTTTAGTGGCTTACGCTGGAGCAACCAAGTGCTCTGGGGTGTGTATTCCATTCATATTAGAAGACACAAAGGAAATAAACATGTTTTCAGTGTCTGTTTTCGGTTGTTGATGACCAGGGAATGTTTCCAAGCACTGTATTGCCATCCCGGGTGTTACGGCTCCTGAGAATCTTAAAGGAATTTTTATTTTTAAGCTGAAATGCAAAAGGTTAGTGTGTCATTGCACTAAGTATGAATAGCGAGCATTGCTTTGTAAACTTTCTTGGCCATGTTTTAAATTTTTCTGTA